TCGGGGGGGATCGATCCCTGATATGCGAGTTCGCCCCGGGGTGTTTTTTCTCGAAAACCAACAGGGATCGGTTGACACTGGTGTCGAAGCTGGTGCTTGTCTAGATTAAGGGGTGGCCGTGTCTACAGCTCAAGTACACATCGGGACTCCTGGCTACAGGCAAAAGTCTGCGGGTGCGCAACACCTGAACCCTGCCGGTGCCAAAAGACTTCCGACCTAGGTCCCATCGAGTTGCGGCCCATGATGTCCTTCGTGAGCCAAGCTGGGGTAGTGGTGAAGTCGTATTCCGCTACCAACCAGCGGAGGAATGCCGGCACAGCAAAGCTTTTGACTGCCTCTGCATTTCTATCAGACTCGCTGTAGCATGTGCCGCCCTCCTTTACGCTCATGCCAGCGTAGAACCCCGGCAAGAACTGGAACAGACTAGCATGGCCTACGTTCGGTTTGTCGCCCCAGTTGGTGCCCTTCATCCTGTTGATCACCCAGTCGGAGCTAGCATTCTTCTCTAGCATAAGAGAGGCGGTTGACATGGTGGTGCCCGTGCTGCACTTACTTGGCTCTCGCTCTCTACCGTGGGTTGTGTGGTCCGTGGTGGCCGCTCGGCCGCTCTAGGCCTCGATCCAATCTCGAATCCTGACATGTCGTGGGCCCCCTGGCGCTACATGCCACCGCAGGATGTTCGAAAACCAGATGAAATAATCCGTTGGACCATAATATCACTTCCAACGGATTATCCGCCCGGAATTTCGCAACGAATTTTTATTTTCCGTCGGGCCAACTTCCGGGAGCCATAAGAGTCAGCCTAAAGCGGGGATATTCCTCAACGCGAGCGTCGTTAAACCGAGGTCGACTGTATCGGGGAGAATCAACTTGCACCTCACAGCAACGCAACTTTGCATCATTGATCACAGCTGTCCATGTCTCACGTTTTCTTCTCCTGGGGCCTGCTGAAGCAGTCCAACACCACGAAACTGCGGCAGGCATCCTCTTCGCGCGTGTTGCACTCTTTATCCTCTTCGCACTCCCCCTGGCCCTTGGCTGCACAGCCTCTGGCCCTCTCGCAACGACAACGGCTACCAGACACCGCAGTTACGCCGCATGCCGACTCTTTATCTCCCCGCAATCCGTGCGCGCTTGTTGTGCTGCTATGTTGCCCAGTCTCTACAGATGGCCTCGATCCGTGCACTTCCTGGAGAAATCTCGAGGGAGTATTCGAAACTCTAGCGGCCAAGCCAGAACGAGAGAGAGAAAGAGACTATTGGCACCTCACCACTGCAAGCACAAGCGAGCTCCTAAGGTCCAGGGTGGGGACACACTGCTGGGAATCTGATCCGCCGTTATACTGCGGAGCCCCCCACTGCACTGCGCAGCACTGCGGTGCTCGGCTCCACCACCCACCAGCCAGCAGGACCATGATCACGCTGGCAAGGACGAGAAGTTGCAGCTTTTCCTTTTCTGGGGTGCCGTCCTCGGTCAGGGCCATAGTTTCGCACTCATGGGCACAAAGCAGTGGCGGGAGCACGGTGAATACAACTCGGCGAAGAAAGTGTGGAGTAGAACGCAGGGTTCCTTACCCACACGGCCCGAGCATCAGCAGAACTAGGAGCAGCCGCACTAGCAGCAGCGGCACTGGCAGCAATACCACTATCTCCGGTCCAAGAAACGCCAACACTACCAGAAAAATCGCGCATGCAAAGGCCTCTTTGGGCACTTCCTCGCCCCTGTCACCGCCGAGAGCACCATTAGCTAGAACGGGGTGCTCCACTTCAACTAGCAGGTAAACCAACACATGTGCCGCCGTAGGCGCGTGTTAGGTGTGTGATTCACTCGATGCAAGCTTCCGTGTGTGTTGTCGAAGGTTTGCTGATACTTGGGGGCTGTGTCATGTCATGTTCAGGAAAGGTCTCATGTCGTGAGACAATAGGCGCTCCACCCAAATCGGTACACAAGCTTGCCCTTCCGTGGAATGCGGAAGAGGTACACCCTGGATCCAATTGTCATGAGGTACCAACATGTACTGTACCGTCACACCTTCGGCCGCACCCTCCGTCCTGGCGATGCATCTCAGAGAGGCATCAGGCTGGCAACCACCGGCGGCGACGCAGCAGCCTCACCGGTGGGGCCAGGAGAGGCCTCCCGCCAAGCACATCCGCGAGCTTCGGCGCCAGCAACGGCTCAAGGAAGAGCGAGCGGAGGAGGTCGGTTTGCCGATCCCTCCGCCTGTCACCGGCAAGGGCGGGAAGGGAAAGCTCATATTTCCGCAGTCCGATTCCTACCGCTTCGTACTTCACATACGGCAGCTCACCCAGGACAGGTATGTATTGAGGGTTCAAGCTGTTCGGCACACTTTGTCAGGACATTATGCAGTCTTGGGCAAGCACTAGCTAGAACTTTCTAACGAAGCGGCGTGCGTGCTGCGTGTCGTCCTGTGGAGGGGGTGAAGGTGGGCATTCCCTTGGCCGCAACAGGCTGTAGTTTTTTGCGAAGCAGCAATGAAGCATGTACTACCTCATATGCTTTGAGAATCTTGCGCCTTCGTGTAGGCTAGCAAGCCCCCTTGGACTTGCACTTGGCAGAGGGCTGTTCTATCTGAAGCCCGTCTATTGTCGGTTAATGATACCCTTGCCACCAAGGACAGCGGGTTCTTCTCAAGACATTATCTTGCGCGTGCTTCTGTCTGGGGCTGCGAAAACTGAAAGAACAGGAACCTCTCCGGTGTGCTGTCCGCCCTGAGCATCGCCGAGCGGAAGGAGGGAGGGGTCGATGTCCACGGGTACAACGCCTGCATCGGGGGCATGGCGAAGGCCAAGCGCTGGGCGGATGCGCTCTCGCTCCTGAGCCGGATGAGGGCTGCAGGCGTCGCTCCTAACACGCACTGCTACTCCAACGCCATCTTGGTGAGGTTTGCTTGCTTACCTGTAATGTTGTTGTTGTTGTTGCTGTTGTTGTTGTTGTTGATCGGTGTTGTTGTTGCTGTTGTTGTTGTTGTTGTTGCTATAGATGTTGTTCTTGATCGGTACTGTTGCTGTTGCTGCTTCTGTTGCCCTTTTTGCTGCTGCTGTTGTTGTCGTTGTCGTTGACGCCGCGGTTGCGTGACATTTCCATTTTCCCCGAAACCCTTGTTTGTTCACCCATCATTCCGGACACTCCCCCGTTGCCCTTAAGAACACTCCATAACGCACACATGCCCAATTTTGCGCAGGCGTGCTGCCGGTGCGGGGAATACCACCATGCCCCCCTTTTGCGAAGGGAGATGGCTGTGGCCGGCGTTCCGCAGACGCTGACGTGCTACCGCCTCGAGCTGGAGCATTTCGGCAACAAAGGTCGGTGGGGCTTGGCCCTGCGGCTGCTGTCCGAGTTGAAAGAGGCCGGCCTCACTCCGGACGCAAAGGTGACCGCTGTTGCTGCTGTTACTGCTGCTGCTGTTGTTGTTGTCGCTGCTGCTGCTGCTGCTGCTACTTTTGTTGGTGCTGCTACTGTTGCTGCTGCTGCTGCTGCTCTTGTTTTTTTTTTTGGTGGTAACGTTATCTTCAAATTTGCAACAGTTCAGATCTCCTGTCATTACCGGCACCTGACATCCGTAATTGTCACCGCGGACGACTTCCGTGGTTATGGACCAGCTACCCCAAATAGGGTGCCACAAGGTTTGAAAAATGAAAGAGAAATTTCAGTACCATGGCAATCAATGCAAGCATATGCAGCTCACATACATAGAACCAGGGGAATGTCCCCAATCAGGCAAACTTTGCACCAGGTGACCCTTCGGACCACGTCGGTCAATAGTGAAGACCGAACACCAGAGGATTCGACAATCAAGGGGCGCGGTGTGTTTCCCGAACCCCTCGTGGTACGCCAGGTGTACAACGGAGTGCTCGACGCGTTCGCGCAGTCGAAGGAATGGGCGAGGGCCAAGGACGTCCTGCGAGAGATGGCGAGCGCCGGGCACGAGCTCCACGCCCGGAGCTACCGAGGGCTTATCGTCTCCGCCGCCAACGCGGGGGAGTGGCGCGTGGCCTGGCGAACCTTCCGCAAGATGAACGCCCTGGGCGTGGAGAGGAGCTCGCGTAGCCCCGCGATCTTCAACTCGGTGACGGCCGCGTGCGGGGCGGCCGGAAGATGGGAGGAGGCGTTAGTCGCCCTGCGGCTGACCGTGCGGGGAGGTATGGCGCCGACCTTCATCGCGTACAACGCGACGCTGGGGGCGCTCGGCAAAGCCGGGCGGTGGAAGCACGCACGGCGGCTGCTGAAAGACATGCAGCAGCGGGCGTCGTCACCGTCCACGCGGGGAGAGGACAGCAGCGACAGCAATCCCGGACTGAGGGAAAGACGGGCTCGGGGCATGGCTAGGACATCACCGCGGAAGGAGCGTCTCCCACCCCCCGACGTCTACAGCTACACCTCGGTGATCGACGCCTGCGCCAAGTCCGGGGAGCGCGACCGCGCCCTGAAGGTCCTCGAGGACATGCGCCGCGCGCAGGTGCACCCCAGCCTGGTGACCTATAACGCCCTCATCCTGGCGTGCGGCACCAGCGACGCCAAGAAGCCGCGCGGCGGCAGCGATTGGCGGCGCGCCCTCTCGTTCATTGAGGAGATGGTCAACTCCGGGGTGAAGCCGGACGTCTATACGCTTACCGCGGCGGTGGCCGCGTGCGAGGCGGGCGGGGAGTGGGGCGAGGCGGCGGCGTACCTGAAGGGTCTGCGGGGGGGCGCGGGGAAGGACGGGTGGACCCGGAACGGGGTGGTGGCGCAGCTGACCATCCTCGCCTGCGGCAAGGCCAACGACTGGAAGGGCGGCCTGCAGGTGGTGAGGGAGATGGAGAGGCTGGGAGTTCGGCCGAAGGTGGGAGTCTTCAACGCCCTGATCGAGGCCCTTGGCGTGGGACCGCAACAGCCAAAACGGGACAGGCGACAGCACTGCATCTAGGTGTCCTCGTGTGTGCCAGCAGTTATTGCGCGATTCGATGAGCTCTACAAGCATGGAATTCTGGCAGAGTTGCACTCGTTTGGCCCTTGAAATCCCGCATTGATTTCGTCGTGGATGGGCAGGTGGGGGCATAATAGTTTTGAAAACAAGGGTTTCAGTGCCATCAAAGGAATATGGCTTGACGGACTCGTTTGTGGTGGCGGTTCTCTAAAGTAGATCTCAGCTCTCATTAGTTTCCCTCGATCAGAGAAAAATTTGTACACCTGCTTCTTTTTCTATCCGTGGTGAAAATCTTGCAAGGGCATGGTAGCGATACCCGCCTTGGGGGCCACTTTCAAATCGCCCTCTCATGCCTATATGGCCACGCTGTCAAAGTATAGGTAAGGGATGATGTGATGAAGTCAACGCATAGGCGCAACTGTTGCCGCCTAGCTGACCGGGCTTTCTCCCAAGACAAAACGATGTTATGCAGGACCCGCCGCGGCGGCAATTCCTCGCCGAGCGCCCTTGCCATGCTCTACGCCAGCCCGAAAGCGCTTGCTTCATCGGCTGTTGAGGCTTGACTCTTCGCTTTTGCGCTGTTCATTTAGCCGAACCGCAGAGTGGCACACCGCGCTTTTCCCGCTAGAAAAAAGGTAGCGGGGAATTCCATCGCTCTGTCCTGCCCATCCCGGCTGCCACGCGTAAGTCGAACCCAAAATAAGTCCTCACCACCCATCGCTAGAACGATGTGTAACACCACGCCACGGTAAAACACTGAAGATGGTCTCCCCCAAGAACGGCGAGCTTTCGGCCGCCGTCCTCCCAGTACCACGAAACCACCACGTTGTCCGACGATGAAGAGCTTTCTTGAAGGTGAAGGATTGAATTCCCCGGGCACAACGATCAGAATTACCTTGGTCTACAAAACACACAAAGACAGCCCTAATCAAGCGAGAAAAAAATCGCTGTCAGCCTGATCTACAATTTCACGTGTGCAATCTGAAAAAGTTATTCTGAACTCAAGTGAACTTCATATTGTCAAGCTGCCGTTTCACGTTTTTTTTTTTTCTCTCCCATTATTGGACTCTGTCGTCTGCCCCTCTGGTCCCCATCCTCCACTTCTACCAGCTAGACGACCCAACCGGGGTCACATAGGAGGGGGGTTAATCTTGGGGGAGTCCCATCAACAATCGAGCGCGAGCGTCACGGGACCTTCTCCAGCAAGACCACAACGTGACAGGCCATCGCTCGCCCCTCCCCGACAGAGTCCACCTTCTCGTGGGTCCTCGCCTTGACGTTCACGCGCCCGAGGGACGTGCGCAGCAGCCGCACGATGTTGTCTCGCATCAACGGCTTGATGTCCATCACCTGGACCCGGCCGTTCGGTTTTTGGCACGAACCGCGGAAAGGGAAACGCTTGAAGGTGGTGATTCGTTTGTGATTCGTTGATCGCTGCCGCTCTGTGCGTGTTGCTTTGGCTCGGGTCATCAGCTTGATGCTCATCACTTGGGAATAAATCATACGCAGGCATAGCACTCCACGTTAGCGGCACGTGACCCTTGGCGAAAACCCAGCGTCGGTTGTGGTTGGTTTTCGAAGCGCGTATTAGGCAATATTATGAACTCACTCCAAGCCCTCCGATAGAAGCCCCGCATCCAATGGGCAGCATGTCACGGCTCAACAACATAGCCTTCTATATTTGTCAGTTTTTTGTACCGCGAGCTTACGGATGAAACACAGCCAACCGCAACAAACGACGAAGACAGGGTGGGTTTGATCTGTCGGACATTGGTAACATGAAACGTGACCAAACGCCGGCATCAAAGTTCCGTTCGGAAAAGTCTTTTGATTTTGTACCCCGGTCGCCGCACAAGTCGCACTGGCCTGGGTTCGCCGCCACCAAGGTGACAATTCACATGGTCTAGACAATGTAAAGCTTGAAATCATGTCCTCAAGAAGGATGGATTTCCGCGAGAAAGAAGGGTTTCGAATGGTCACGGGTCCACATGAGCAACAGTCAGCAGCAGCAGGAGAGGCGGCCACGAGTGTGCGATGAAAAAAGAAACGAAAGGAAACAAATATTTTGCACGTACCTTCGGTTTCTGAAGGATCAGGGTAACGTCGACGTTACCCACTCGGAACCCCCTTTGGTTCGGCGGCGGCGGCAGCAACAGCAGCAGCAGGTGTTTTTATATACAACCGCGATGGCAACAAGGCAACGAAAAAAGCGGGCGGGTGAGTAGGGACGGGGAGGCTGGTGATCCAAAGACACAAAATATGCAGAGTGGAAATATTCTTTAGAGCTGGGAAGATATGAATCGTGCACATTCACACATGCCGATACGGATATTGTTCTTAAGTGCCAAGGGCAAACGCCGTAACGAGCTTGACGAGCCCGGGAACGATTCGAACGCCCAAGGAACGATTCGAACGCCCAAGCAGCGATTCGAACGCCCAAGGAACGATTCGAACGCCCAAGGAACGATTCGAACGCCCAAGCAGCGATTCGAACGCCCAAGCAACGATTCGAACGCCCAAGGTAAAACACGCAAGGCCTTGGACATAAGCACAAAACAACCATACACAAAATAGCGGTGTCTGTTGCCAACGTCTTGCGGGGGGGGATGAAACGGAACCACCGTTGCAGCCAACACCATACCCCCTCCTGCTGTCCACCCCCGTCGTGTGAAACAGACGAACCACAATAACATGCTCCACGCATCAACGCGCACAACGAAAACAAGAACTCACAAAATGTGACAACTCACAAAACGCGACTCGGCGAACGGCAACAGGAGACCGTCTACAAATCCGGTCCTTGAGAGTATGAAAGTAGAAGGGAGAGATGACGCGTACCTTTCGTCCATCCTTCGGTAGGCTTCCTCCATGAAAATACTCGAGTCAGCGCCCGACCAATCCGGGTCGTTGTCGGGGAAAAGTTGACCAATGTCTGGTAACCCAAGAGCCCCTGTATCGGGGACGATGGTGAAACACCACAGGGGTAATTCCCGTTCGGTTCAGGCATGTGCCAAAGAGATACAATAAAGAACATGTCGCTTCATCAAGTACATCGCTGGCAACACCACAACATTTGTGTCCCCTGACACAAGGGAAACACTTCTGCAGGCACCTGCAAGACCAAGCCTCAACATTCCCCCCATGTACCTTCCTCGGGAGTTAGACCTTCGCATGGTCGACAAGGCACTTGCAGCCACCTTCCACCCATCGAGCCCTTCCACACATACGTACCGTTCGCTATACATGCAAAAGACAACCCACAAACGATACTACAGTCGAACCTGTATTGTTTAGAAACAAAGTGATCCTTAAGCCGGGGAAGTGTCCTTAAGGTTTATACCCCTGCGTACGTTGTACATTCTGCCAGCCACCATGACTGAAAAGTTGTTCTTAACTGAGGGAGGTTCCTCAATTTGGTATCCTCAAGCGAGGCACGACTGTACTACCTGGCAAACAAGACAAAACACCCGCCATACGACAACACCATACCACGCCCGACGATCACTAATCTGGCAGCCAAAACAATTCCCCCGGGGGGTGTTATGCTGCGCTGCATGCCGTATCCCCGCCCTGTCGTGCAGCCTCTCACCCAAGATGGCATCTACGACGCTGTGGTAGATCACGTCCCCGTCCGAGTGCGCGTCGGCGCCGAGCTCGTACGGAATGTTGACCCCTCCGATGACGAGCTCCTTCCCCTCAACCAAGCGGTGGATATCGAAACCGTGGCCAATCAGCATGGCGGGTTCCTGTGGTACAAGATTGTTGTGCGATAGCGTGCGGGCACGCATAAGATCCGCGTTATTCCCGCCACAAAGTTGAGTTGATGCGTACGGTGGAATACACTCGGACAGAAGATGGATCTACGTTTCGAGGCATGCAACCAACGTACCGACCTACGAATAAGAGCATGTATCAGCCGCAAACCGTTTAACGATGATCCGGTCACCTCCAAGTCCGGTGCACTCATGGAAGGAACCCTGCCGGCTCGCCCTCCCCCTCGCGCGGGTGCTCCTCTGCTCGCCGACAGCAGTGGTGCACGGTGTTGCCTGCCCCTGCCGAAAATTCGCAGATTATTCGATGCAAAAGAGACGACCTCGTGTCAACATCATCAGGGGGGTAGTTCGCAACCGTCTGTGCAAAAGGTTATGAAGCCCAACGTGGCCAGTCTTTCCTGCGGGCGTGTATGGGCAACGGGGTACGGGTTTCGGCCAGTTCTTGGGGGAAAGCGCTGTATGTCTCGACACAGATCGGTAAATGCCTCAAACCGGGATTGAGGGCTAATCCGAAGGATTGCGGACATAAGGTAACCGCACCGGCCTCTGCAGCCAGAGAAGGGGAGCTAACCAGATCTTTCCTTTTTGAAACCGCCGCTTTCCTCGCCGCGTACGACAAGGTTATGCAGCTCGTTCGTGACAGTCGGCCTCGAAGATCTGTGAATATCTTGGGTGCACGACGGCCGACAACAGCTCATTTGAGCTTCCGCGCGCGCGAGAGAGAGAACGATACGCGATGTGAGCGCACTGTCGGTTTTCGGACGCATTCTCGCAGATTTCAGCGTGACCAAGCATCACCGATGACACGTCGACTGCCGCTGTAGGTGAGTACAAAAAATAAATCAATGCTGATAATAAGCTCCAGCAGCAATGCAGCTCGACGGCCCACCAGTGCATGGAGAAACCAGTCATAGATGGACAGCTTGGGCAATCGCGGACAGGTGTCGTGGCACAGTAAATGAGTACCGGCGAGACTGTGAGGTAACTTGCAGGGTAAAAAACAGGTTGACCGACATTGTGCCTATAACAATCCATGCATTCGAGCTACTGTTTTATGTCCCGTTCATCTGTAAATCTGCAGAACATACAACCTTGACCCGGAGGAAAGGATGTTGAATAGGGTCAGGTTGGTAATAGGACCACACCTACAGCATGCAGCGGTTCGAGAGCCGGACATACCTCGGGCGTATCATGAGCGCATACCAACGTCCGTGATCAATACTTTTGAACTTGTCGGTTCATCACCTGCTGAAGGAAGCTGCCGCTACATATTGGTGTCCAGGCACAACAAAAGCGAAAGCATGGCCAACGCTAGCCAGCGCCACGACAGCTGCTGCAACGCCCATCCTTCTGCACGTGTGTAGCAGCGGTGGGTGGTGGATGCGATCCGACCGATCAACCGCAGTGCGTCCCTGGCAAAACAAATACAATCCGCGGAGCCCCGCGGTGGGATCTCGCGAGAACACGAGCAAGGCACACACTCGGGAGCCTGCTATCTGACGATTTGCGCAGCACCTGCAACGGAAACACAGAGAAACCTGAAGGGTTGGTATCAACGCTTGTGTTAAAAAGGAAGGACGAAAGCTTTGTAGAGTTGCAACCCGAGGAGAGTACTCCACACAGCCTGCGAAGATCAGCAGACGGCTTATCGAGCTCAGCACCTGCAAGTTCACAGCAACCGCACCTCCACAGCAGGAAGATAAATATGTCGGAGCTCAGCAACGTGGCGGGAGCAGGGCAGAGCGTCCCCGCCGACCTTCGAGAGGAGGTCCTGTCCGCCTCGACAACAAATGCCGGAGGAGGCGGCTTCGGCTTCGAAAACCACCACCGCAACGCCCGCATCGCGGCCGAGCTCGCCAAGTCGGGCAAGGAGGGGACCTTGCCCCGCGCCAAGCTCACGGGAACGACGATCTGCGGGTGCATCTACAAGGGAGGCGTTGTCCTGGGCGCGGACACGCGCGCGACCGGCGGGACGGAGGTCGTGGACAAGAACTGTGAAAAAATCCACTACCTGGCGCCGAACATCTACTGCTGCGGCGCCGGCACTGCCGCCGACACGGAGAAGACTACCGAGATGATTTCGGGCCAGGTCCGTGTAGATCGATCGATGCGGCTGTGTGTCTGTGACGTTCATCGTAAATTGTGGGCGTTATGGCTGTTTCTGCTGAGCGTTTCCATGAGCTCGCATGATGGTGCAGTCATATCTCACCGTGGCTTTTGTTACCTAGGTAGGTAACGTTTGGTCGACCGCAAAATGCAAAATGCCAGTGATTTCCGCAGAGGGAGGACAGGCATCCCGCCGTACGTGACACAAGATATCACGCCCCCTGCTGGACCGATTTTCGAAGTCGATGTCTCCACAGCAGATATAGTGGCAGCACCGAAAACAGCGGCATCGAACCTGTCTCTTCGACAGGTTTTCGAAATAGGATTGTTTCATTCATGCATCCTCTTGGTCGTGGAGTAATCGAGCTTTGAAAATTGGTCCAGGGGGTGTGTTATCTTGCGTCACCCTCTGCATGCCTGCACCGTGTACTATGCGTGGAGTTCGGCGCCGTCAACGGGTGCACTGATCCGACATCCTGACGGAAATACTAGCGGCCAGGCAAAAACTTCTCGCGGAAGCCTGGTGCAATTGTGAACACCTTGTCCATGCAAGAATGCACCAATAATAGTATCGGTGCATAGAAAATAATACTGCTGACGGCTTAGTGCTCAGGTTGCGCGCCGTGCGCAGATAGCTGCAGCTGTTCAAGTCTTCAAGCATCACAGCGCACAGAAAATAATGCCTGGTGCCGCTGACCGCTAAGGCTCAGGTTGCGTGCCGTGCGCAGATAATGGCAGTAATAGATTGCGCGGGACATGCTCTGACGGCTACACATCTTTACTTCCAAATCATCAAGTGTTGTTTCCTCGACCCCACGTTGGTGGTCCCACTGACCCTCTCGCGTACGCTTGTGCAATTCTGTGTTCGCCCTTGGACAGCTGGACTTGCTGCGTCTGTCCACAGGGACCCAGTCTCGAGTCGTGACCGCGTGCACCATGCTCAAGCGCATGCTCTTCCGCTACCAGGTAAAAGCGGTATGTAGATTTACTCGTCGAGGAGGATTCTCATCATTGGAGGATTCCCCCCGTTCCCTTGAAACATCGTAGCCTTGCCTTGTCTTTCTTCTGTATTTCGTTGTTTGCCATGACGTCTGCTGAGTCCTGTGCATACCTGTTGAAAGTCTGCGAGCACGGCATGGCGATGACGGAAACATCAGTGTCGTGCATGATGATACTGATCTCTACAAGACAGTAGTGCACCACTTGCTCCCCCGCTTCCAAGACCAAAAGAGTCTACAGATTCCCTCGCGCGACCTCTCTCCTCCCCGGTTCCTCCCTGTTATCCGTACACGGATACACACGTTGTCCCCGCCGACTCTCTGTTTATCTTGCGCTGTGTAGGGGCACGTGTCGGCAGCGCTAGTCCTAGGTGGCGTTGACGTGACGGGGCCGCACTTGTACAACATCTACCCCCACGGTAGCTCTGACAAGCTGCCATATCTCACCATGGGGTCGGGATCGCTCGCGGCCATGTCGGTAAGCACGTTTCGGCGGGCGGGTGGGTGGGAATGAGGGAGACATCATTCGCCTTAACACTCGCAAGTGTTTGTAAGATAGCAGTACTCTCGTGATCAAGAACAGTCGACGTTACTTCGGATCGGCGTGCGTACTATTTTACGAAGCTCTCGTGGCAGCGTCGAATAAGTCGACAATGTTTCAAAGCAACTGATGACGAACGAGCGAAAGAAGGTTGTTGTTAGAACATCAGCACCTTTCTGGATATGCGGTATCTGTTTTCATTTGCAAAAGACGATCCGTTGTGAGAAGGTTCAAGATTGCTACTTCTGCCATGAACATCGCACGTTTATTTCGCTCAAAGTGCGGTGGATAATAATCGATGGGCTTGCTCGTTTGCCTCAATGATCGTTTGCGAAGACATTTGTTGTGCTATTTTTTTTGTGTAACCCTCGTCGTTTTGAAGTCAGGCTTTCACTCGGCCGATGCTGGGGTGGTGGAATTGACAACATCAAACCCGGCACCTTTTCCAGGAGGGTTTTCGCCCGCACCACAGACACGAAGTTGTGTTTCTTCTTACGGGATTCTCCCATAGAAGTATTGGCTCCTAGCTGGAGCATGCCCAATTTCTGGTAGTGTCCTCTCTCGACCGACGGACCATCTTCTCGTGCATCGCCCTTGAAAAAACGAACGCTTCAGGTGTTCGAAACAGGGTTTAAGGAGGACATGGAGGAGGCAGAGGCGGTGGAGCTCGTGAAACAGGCCATCATGGCGGGCGTGTTCAACGATCTTGGCTCGGGTAGCAACGTGGACGTCACGGTGATTAGGCCCGGGGGGGAGACCGCCATGTGAGATGACCCAGTGCCATGTTCTTGCCGTTTGTGCACTTTGGAGTGTTTGTTTGCATTTGTTTTTGGCGCTTCCTTCTACACAACAAAATGATATCAAGATTTGCCAAAATATTGACGCGCTTTTCTGCCTTCAAGTCCGAAAGCAGGTTTTGCCCCCGTGACCACTCTGTCGGGCATTGTCTTCGTCTTTGTCGCGCAGTGTTGACTCTTTTGATTTTGCGAATAAATACACAGTCGCCCCCATTGAAGTCACCCTCTACCACCCCCTTGTTTCCTTGTCCACCGCAGCTTCCGGGGGTTGGAAAAGCCGAACGAGGTGTCGGAGCTCAGGAAGACGGTAGAGCGCCCGGCGGCGATCAAGGTAAGAAAACAAGGGGTGGATACACTATCTTGTTGGCGTTGTGTTTCAACTCCGTCTGACGTTGCTGCATCTGTGGCGCTTCCATATATATATATTTTCTTGTCATTAAGGCAAGTTTCACCTTGTTTTCTTTGTGGAAGTCGCGCGTTGTTGTAGTGCCCATGCCGGAGCTCAACACGGTAGTTGTGGTTATTTGTGGCGGGGGCACCTTTGGCCCATGAGTTTTTCCGCCAGCCCGAACGACACACGTAACACTCGTTGCTGCCGGCACGGTAAACCCTTACGAGCCTCGTTTTATCCCCTCCCTGACCCTGACTATCGGATTCCTTGCTGTGCAAATGAAGACCTTGCCCTTTTATGTGAAACGTACAGCAGCTGTCGCGTTGGAATTGGAATTTGACACTACGGGCTGCATGCTGGTGCACTCATCCAACTCTCGCAGCATATCCTGAGATTGTCAAGCGCGTGATGCCCTCACCGGCCTGACCCCCTTCCCCGATCCCTACCGTTTTGTCATATTTTTCAGGTACCGAAGGGGGCAACCGAGATCCTTGCGTCCAAGTTCCAGCCGCTGTCTTCTCTGGTTACCGTGGAAGACGCGCCTCAGCCCATGGAAATCTAGTGTGGTATATTTTTGTTGTTTGTTTTCTCGGCGACGGCCATGCGTCCTGGGGGGGGCGGGGGGCTAGGTTCCACATCGCTTCAGAGGAGCAAGCTAACACTGCTCCACACAGTTGCTATAGATGAGTGGTAGGTGGCGTCGCATGCGTGATGCTCGCTATTTTTTCTTGGTTCTCGCTTTTTGTGGAGGCTCGCGGTTTGCCGATGCTGGGTAAGGCCACCGAGGCAGGAGGCACGATGTCGATCGTTGTTTCGTTGCCGATCAAGCGATGAGGGAGTGTGTTGGCGCTTTGATGGTTGAGTCGTCGCTCTCCCAAGACGGGGCTCGGTTTGCGGTATAGGATTGATTCTCTTTGTAGGAACGAAGCGTCCGCTTGGTCTCATCCTTGATTTGTTTTGGCAAGGTGTGGCCGGGTGATTGCGATCGGAATGTAGAAACCAACCAATGCAAAGAATATGCGCTTTTTGACGCTCTCAGTTAACGGAACCGCGTACTGCGGCAGCACCACTATTAATAGTGACTGCTAACGCGATGTCGTCCAGGAATTGATTGACGAAATGACGTCAAGTTGTGACACATTCTCGCCGACGGGAGACTAGACACCAACGATTAAAGCGAGAAAGGAACAAACAGGGTGAATTTGACTAATCACCAAGCAAGGCCGCCTGCAGAGGCGACCTATATTGGGTGAACTTGAATCAGTGCTCGCTCGCGTACAAGGGGTATCACATATTCGTCATTAATATTGTGTGACGAAAGCTCCACTCTGGAGAACGATTATGGGTACCGTCATGGTAAGCAGCTGTTTCCTCTTTATCTAGTTGACACGATGGGGTTCAACAGCTGTGAGAAAATTGCCGTGATGTTCGACCAAACGTCGTTGTCGAAGTGCCTTTTTGGTGACGCTTTTCGGCCATCAACTTGCGTTAAGGGACGTCGCTTCTACGGTAGATGTGCATGTCTG